AAAAAAAAAAAAGAAAGAAAAAGAAGAAGGCCAGGAGCTAATGTCAGCAGGATTTGCTGATCTCACCATATGTTCATTATCTACAAGCAGGTGGCTTTACAGAAGGTCGGGCTGGCCTGGTAAAGACCCAGGGTGGTACCAGCTGGAAGACGTTGTTCTGCACAGATGCGGTGCTGTCAAAAGGCTGTGCTCTGAACAACCTCTAGCGCTTTTCTTTCAGAGCTGAAACACTCAAGAGTCTGTGAGCTAGAGGTGGGGATAACTCAGATGGCATCAGGATCCACTCTCACAATGATCACTGTCATCCTCCTAACTTGCTAGTGGAAAGGTCTGGGCATGTATGAAAGGAAAGCTGTCACCGGGGCGTGATGTTATCTCTACTTTGCATAGAAGCTGAGCTTTCTCACCAGCCTTTTAAGCTTCCTTAGGGCATTAGTAAAATAGACAGAAAAGGCGATCAGGGTGTTGGGTGTATGACAAACCTTGAGACTTAGGGGAGCTGGTGATTATTACCTCCCTTACGGTGGGCAGGAAAAGCACAGGAGGAGCCAGAGAACACCTGGGGCACAAGGCCGGGAGCAAAGGTGACAGGATGAAACCACTGCTCTCTGCAGAGTCCCAGCAAAGGTTCAGACTCCTCAGGATTGGTTAGAGTCGCCTCCCTGACCCCAGAACCCCAACCAGTGAGATTCTGCCTGAAGGCAGGAGAATAAGGACTAGGCCAGAGGAATAGGGAAGCCATAGCCATGTGGTCTCCAACCGCATCACTGTAGCTCCCACCTGTTTCCCCTTTCCCTGCCAGAGCCGTATGGAAGATTTAACTTTCCCCATTTTCTGAAATAAGAATTATTATTTTTTGTTTTTGTTTTGAGACAGAGTCTCACTCTGTTGCCTTCTGTAGAGTGCTGTAGCATCATAGCTCACAGCAACCTCAAAATCTTGGGCTCAATTGAGCCTTTTGCTTCAGCCTCCCGAGTAGCTGGGACTACAGGTGCCCACCACAACACCTAGCTAGTTTTTAAGAGATGGGGTTTCACTCTTGTTCAGGCTGTCTAGAACTCCTGAGCTCAGGCAAACCACCCGCCTTGGCCTCCCAGAGTGCTAGGATGAAGTAAGACTCATTGTATTTCAAAGTTTTCTCTTTCTCACCCCTCTTCTTTTTCTTCTCTTTGTTGCAGTTTTTTTTTTTTTTTTTTTTTTGGCCAGGGCCAGGTTTGAACCCACCATCTCCGGTATATGGGGCCAGTGTCCTACTCCTTGAGCCTTTTCCTTCCATTCTTTTCCTTCTTTTGAGTGGAGTATACTGAGAGTAGTTGTATTTCCTCTAGGTTGCAGAATGGTGACATGAAGTCAGGATGGAGTTGGGGACAGGAGATCCTGGGTTTTGACCACAGTGGCTTCGGGACCTTACCCTTCATGTGCCTCTGAGCTGGGGCCGGCCGGGGAAGGGAGGCTGAGTCTGCAGCTGTATAGAGGATCACAGTATTATGTTGGGTCTGTTTTCGGAGATTTGCTTTCAATCCCATCTAGTAAATCTCCTAAGCAGAAACTTGGACGTCATCCTTGACAATCCACTATATGGAGATCTGAAAACTTTATTTCCCAAAGAACCCTTCAACCCCCCTACCCCCACCCTCAGACTTACAGCCATTGCCCTAGTGAGATCCAAGCCCACCTCTCTAACAGACCCAAAGGATCTAGGCCTCCCTCTTGACATCCCCACTCCAGCCTCATTGTTGTTCTCATTCAAATCAGGTTCTTTTTTTTTTTCTTATCTACTCCTTTGCTTTCATATCTACTTCTCCTAGCCCTTCACCAGAAGCACCATCTATCCACCTCTTTGTAATCTCACTGGTTAGGATTCAGCTCCAGATATCACTGCCTCCTGGAAGCCTTCCTGTCCTCCCTCCCAGGACTCAACACCCCTATTCAGTGAGATAAAGTAGCTCTCCCGTAGGCTTCTGCTAAATTGCACTGTGCACATTATATCTTGACCTTAGCTCCATCTTTCTAGAAACCTCCATGACTTGGGAGCAGAGGGGGTAGCCAATGCACAGGCTAAACAAAAGAACGATGAGGCAGCGGTCCAAGTAGATGGCTTGCTTGTGCACACATGAGCCCACAAGGGCAGAAACATCATGGAGCATCAGAGGCTGGGGACACTAGTACCAGTTGTTGGACTGAATGCTACTGTTTAGAACTTGCTTCTCAGTGAATCTAAGACTTCATCACCATCCAGGCACCAAGACCACCCCTGACAGACCCATCTTGCTCCCACCAAACTGTCCCCATTGATCCTTTGCCCTGGACCTGACATTCTGGACTAGTTCTGTTCTCAGTTGTGGCCAAGTGTAACAAGTACACAATAAGTCATACTTTTTCTGTTTCAGTTGAAGAATCAAAAAGGGGGAGGGGATGGGCATGGTGGCTCATACCTATAATCCTAGCATTCTGGGAGGCTGAGGCAGGTAGATGGCTTGAGCTCAGGAGTTTGAGACCAGCCTGAGCAAGAGTGAGACCCCATCTCTACTTAAAAAAAAAAAAAATAGAAAAACTAGCTGGGTGGTGTGGCAGGTGCCTGTAGTACCTGCTCCTCCTCCTCAGGACACTGAGGCAAGAGGATCTCTGGAGCCCAAGATTTGAGGTTGCTGTGAGCTATGATACCACGGTACTCTCTCCAGGGTGACAGAGTGAGACTCTGTCTCAGAAAAAAAAAAAAAAAAGGGTATTGGTTTGTCTGTGGCTCCTTGACGCAGTTCTCTCCTTGCTGACAAGGCCGAGAAAACAGCTTCCCCAGCCTTAGTGGTCCAGCCCCGTTTCCGCTAAGGGAAGCCTGTCCCTTGCCTACTCAGATGCTTTCCTGGACTTCCTCTTGCCCTTTAGAAGAAGGAGAAAGTTTCTGACTGAACTCACAGAAAGGTCCTTTGAGACTTGGCCCCGGCTGCCCTCTCCAGCCCAGTGTGTCACTAGCCCATTTTGCACCTCCCCGCCTATTGGCATCCATGTTGACCTGCCCTGCAGTCACATTTATTGCCCTGATGTCTGTCTGCTGGGTGTTCCTACACCGCCCATGACTCTCCCATGGTAGCTTTTCTTTTTTTCTTATTGAGACGGAGTCTTATTTTGTCACCCTCGGTAGAGTGCCGTGGCATTATAGCTCACAGTAACCTCAAATTCTTGGGCTCAAGCGATTCTCTTGCCTCAGCCTCCCTAGTAGCTGGGACTACAGGCGCCTGCCACAACGCCTGGCTTTTTTTTTTTTTTTTTTTTCCCATTTAGCAGGCCAGGGCTGAGTTTGAACTCACCAGCCTCAGAGTATGTGGCCAGCGCCCTAACTGCTGAGCATGGGCATCTGACCCCCACGGTAGCTTTTATGGACTTAATTGTAGATTGTTTCATGTCTTCTCTGCTCAATTTCATGAAAACAGGAGCTGTGTTAGCCTTATTCACAATTCCATCCCTGGGACCATACATAATAGACACTCAACATTATTAAAAAAAAAAAATCATGGGGTGGTGCCTGTGGCTCAAAGGAGTAGGGCGCTGACCCCATATGCTGGAGGTGGTGGGTTCAAACCCATCCCTGGCCAAAAAAAAAAAAAAAAAAAACTGCAAAAAAATCATGAAGGCTTGGCGCCTATGGCTCAAGAGGCTAAGGCGCCAGCCACATACACCTGAGCTGGCGGGTTTGAATCCAGCCCATGCCTGCCAAAGAACAATGATGGCTGCAACAAAAAAAAAAAAAAAAAAAAAAAAAAAAATATATATATATATATATATATATCTCAGGGCATTGAGCGCCTGTAATCCCAGCTACTAGGGAGGTGGAGGCAGGAGAATTGCTTGAGCCCAGGAGTTGGAAGTTGCTATGAGCTGTGATGCCATGGCACTCTACCCAGGGCAACAGCTTGAGGCTCTGTCTCAAAAAAAAATCATAAAATCATAACTTCATAAACTCTTTTTGTTGTAGGGCCATCTGGAGTGATCTAAATGGCTGGGAAGAGGGCCACGGGATAGGACATGAGATGGGGAGAAAGAACACCCTGACTGGGGCTCCAAACCCAAATTATTCCATTGGGGAAACACTTTTTTTTTTTTTTGGCCAGGGCTGGGTTTGAACCTACCATCTCTGGTATATGGGTCTGGTGCCCTACGCTCCTTGAGCCACAGGCACTGCCCTGGGGAAACACTTTTTTCTAGGAAGTAAGTGGAAGGGAAAAAGGGATGGGTTCTAAGGAGAAGCAAGTGCTTCCTAAGGATGGCTCTCCACACCCTGTCACCCCTGGTGCCAGCTGTTCAGCCAGTGTAGCTCTTCTGAGAGTATGCCTCAGCTGGGTCAGCAGGGACCCAGAGGGGGAGGAGTGAGGGGAGAAGAGTAGGGGGGTGGATTGGGGAATAGATGCACCGTGCATTCATTCAGGTATCTTTACTCATTCTATGATGAAGAGAAGGGGAAAATTCACTGGCTTCCTGGGTGTCTGAGGATACTTGGTCCTCAGTGAGGAGGGACCGACATTCAGGGTGATGGGCTCTGATGTCATCAGCTTATCATGCAGGCGCCTTTCTCTCTGAAGGGATTCTTGTCTTCAGGGATGCCTTTGAGTAGAGGATCATTTCCTGCTTGGGCCTCCACATAATCCTTGATTTCCTTTCCTGTCTGGGAAATCTGTGAGAACACAAAATACGGTTACAGCCCTGGTAGCTTTCTCAGGACCCATGACATGGTGGACACACTGAGCTCTCTGGAGCCCACCGGACACACAAGGCTCTCTCCTGTGCTCAGGGAAGGTGGCGCCTTCTCAGGGTCAACCTCCAGCCTCCTACATCCTACCCCAGCCCAAAGGCACCTCTCGTTGCTTCTGCAGCCCTCGGAAGGTCCACCATCCCTTTTCTGTCACTTCCTCCTTCCGGTCCCAGCTCTACAGGGGAGCAGGAAGGGATGAGCTGGGACGGACCGGGAGGCTCACCAGGGATCTCGGATTCTTCACTTCCCTCTTCAGCTGGTCTACCTCCATCCTCAGCAGGTCCTTCTCATTAAGCTCTTGGGCCATCCTGTCCTACAGACATGGTCCCAGAAAAGATTCAGCAGACAGATTTGCAAATCCCACCCTCTGTTCCTCTGCATCTGAACTTCTATCGTCTCCCTGCTGTATCCCCTGCTCAGGCCTCTCATCACTGGGCATACACTCATGCTCTCCCTACACCCCTGCCTCTTCCTAGTCCAGGAAGCTCCCAGTCCCATGGAGGAGGCACGATTTTTGCCTTTGGTTAAGGACCTGCTTAAGAAGGAAATTGAGAAGGAAGAAAAAAGGGAGTTTCTTTCAGTGAGGAGGATTCAGGAAGCAAAGTTAGTGTTCCACAGAATGACTCAGGTAGAAGTTTTCTTTTTTGTCTCCAGGTCTCGGCAGGGCAGAGTGTATCCCAGTGGCCAAGGGGAGGGGTTCTGGGGCTTGCCACACTCCAATTCTGATTCCAGCTCTGCCATTTTCACACTGTGTGGCCTTAAGCCAGTCACTCAGCCTCCTTAAGTCTTAGTCTCCCCATCTACAAAAGGTGTATAGTAATAGTACCTACCTCCAGAAACATAATGCATATAAAATATTTTAATACACTGCTTGGCATATGCTGAACATAATACATTTATTATTATTATCACTAACAATACTCTTGTTATCATTATCGCTGAGTTATCAGGAAGGCCTGTCTGGTGCCCAACCTCAGTAGTAGACTAGAACCCAGCCCAGTGCAACTTCAGCCCCTCTCACCTGCCAGGGAAGTGCACTCTCTCCAAGTCACTCGTCCTAGACCCAGACAAGATGGTGTTTGAGCCTCCTCGTTCTTCATCAGCTGAAAATCTTCAGATAAAGCAGATGGTCTGGGAACCAAAATCTCTGATGCTTAAGCTGATCATAGGCTCAAGGTTCTAAGCTCTTCCACCTCTGAGCCTCTAAGGCCTCGCCGCTACCAGCACAGAGAAACACTGACATCTCCCTACAAAAACAAACTAGGAAACAGAGGCTGCCTTGGATCTGTCTGCCTCAAGGCCATCTTCTCCCCACCCAGCTCCCTGTGTCAGCCTCACTTATTGATGCCCCTAGCTCAGAGACCCCATCCCCTGCGCCACCTGCTGCTCTTTCACTGACTTCTCTCCTCCCCAACCCTCCACCTCTCAGCCTGCTCGGAGGCTGTTCTTCCCAATGAGACCAGCTCCTAACTTCTCTAACCAAGCTGCCTTCCTGTCCCTCATTGGTTCCCCACAATTTCACCTTACAAGGTTCTCCTAGTCCCTCTTCCTTCACTCATTCGATACAAGTGTATGCTTGTTTACGATGCCATGAAAGTTAGCACTGGGGGCTGTGGCCACTCACATGCCTTCGTCCATGCCTCTTGCCACCTCATCTCCCTCTGAGCCCTGAGTGTGGGTATCTCTTATCTGCAGTTTGTGAGCACAGGGCCCACCCACATCTTGGTCCTTCTCTTGGTCTCCTCCCAGGACCACTTGAGGGGTCCTGGTCTGGCTGACCCTTGTGCATGACAAGGGACCCTCTCAAGGAGCAGAAGCTGAGAGACCAATCTATTTGGGGAGATCTTATTCTCCTGCCTCTAGAATGACAGAATCATTGGTGGGAGGGACAGGAAGGAGGCTGTGGTCCATCCTAACTTCTCTTCCAGGACCCACTCCATCTGTGAGCTCTAAGAAAGAATCTGAGATCAGGACAGGATCCTCGAGGTCGTCAAGTCCGACTCCTCTGTTAATGTGTGAACTACAGCTCATACCTTCTGGGCCAGACTCGGTGGTCTGCGCATAGCAGCTTCCTAACTCTGACAAGTTAACCTGGAATTTGAGCCTAGTGCTTCTCAAATCCAAGTCCTTCCTGTTGTCTAATCTGAGTTCCTCACATACACTTGGTCGATTTCATCTTGTCCTGCCTCCATCAGGCACAGAGCATGCAGAGCGGACCTTCATCACACGTGAACCTCCACAGGCTTGATGACACTTCTCTGGGAATCTCTGGTTGTGTCTTCCTGGGTCCAACCCCGACTCTTACTGCTGCACAGGCCGTTTTCCACCCTTGCTGTGCTGCTACCCCATAGTTCCCTCCTCCTCAGTGACTGGCCTCCGTATGCCATCCACCCTCCACACCCCGGTCCCCTCGTGACTCATCCCTAAGCTTCCCAAGGAAGCCCCCACCCTCTGCCCTTTCCTCCCCCTTCCATGAGTGGAAAGTCTACCTCCACCCCCACCCCCCCATACCAGGCCAGCCCCCTTCCTCCTAGTCTCCCACCCCATCCCCCCACCCACCAGTTTCCTCTCCAGGACCAGGGAGCAATCACGGCTGCCCTGACCTTGGCTTCCTCTGCTGGGTGGGATGGGGGGCTGGGCCCCGAAACAGGTCCTGGCTTCCCCCTTCCTCTGGGCAGGAGAGAGAGAGCCTCAGGCCCAGGGAGCAGGGACTGACTTCCTCTTGTCCCGGAATGAGCATGCCTGCCCTTTGCAAGCAGGTTTGGGTCTCTCACGAATAGGAAACCAAAAGCAGTGAGAGGGAGGGAAGACAGAGCAACCAATCAAGGGCAGGGTGAGGCTCAAAACCGGCGGGCTCCCCGGGGAGCCAGACAGAGGCTGGGGGTGATGGCGGATCTACAGCAGCTGCAGGAGTTTGAGATCCCCACAGGCCGGGAGGCTCTGCGGGGCAACCACAGTGCCCTACTAAGGGTCGCCGACTACTGCGAGGATAACTACATGCAGGTAGGTGGAGTGGGCCTAGGCCTGGACTCCTTAGCCCCCTGGAGGGGCCTTGGAGCCCAACCCCAGCCTAGGCCATGGAGGCCGTCCTGACAGGTGCTTATTGGGGCCTTGGTTGAGAAATCCTCCCACTCCAGTCTTCAGCTTTAGCCCCGTTTGCCAAACTTAACCCTGACCCCACGCTACCCAAGCCCCTACTGTGTCCACTCCCAGAGCTCAGAGATGGCTGAGGTGAGGTGGTCAGTCTGATTCCATCTTCTTCTTTGGCCTCACCCAGCTTTACCTCCCTGAAGTCCCTGTCCTCACACTTCATGCTGGGACATGAGGGATCCAAGTGGGGCTTCAGAAGAAATTCCCAAACAGTGTAGCAAACCTGAGATGGACCAGGGAAAGGAACTCTTTCCCTGTAACAGGTGGAGAGCAGGGAGAAGTCAGAGTAGGCTGGGTTAAAGAGAGGAGGGCTCCCACCGAGGTAGGGGGATGGCTGACATGACTGCTCGGAGGAGGCTGCCAGTGAAAGGTGAGGAGGGTGGCATCACGGAAGGCTTTCTTTTTCTTTTTTTGAGACAGAGTCTCATGATGTCCCCCACGGTAGAGTGCAGTGGCATCATAGCTCACAGCAACCAAGCGATTCTCTTGCCTCAGCCTCCCAAGTAGCTGGATCTATAGGTACCTGCCACAATGCTGGCTATTTGTTGTTGTTGCAGTTGTCATTGTTGACATTGTTTAGCTGGCCCAGGCTGGGTTTGAATCCTGCCAGCTTCAGTGCATGTGGCCAGCGCTGTAACCACTGTGCCACTGAACCACACAGAACGTTTTTTTAAATTGTTGTTCTATGACTGAGATTATAGATCCCCAGATCAAGGGAGGGATCGAACACTCCCAACATTTCATGAATCCTCACAACTACCTTATGAAACACATATCACCATTTCTATTTTATGGGAATGAAAACAGCAATTCAGTGAGGTAAAGTGCCTTGTTCAAGGTCACACAGCTCCTCTGGCCTCCCTGATTTTTCACAAAGAGTTCTTTCCTTTCCTTCTTTCTTCCCTTTGACCTGCTGGATGGCTTTTAAGACAGTTTATTTGTACTCTCTGTCCTCAGTTTCTTCTGCTCCCTGAAGAGCTCCCGGCTAAACCTGTTACCCCTTGGGCAAAACTTACTTTTCCTACCATATTAACCAAACTGTCAGAAGAGGCACAGAGATCTCCTAGCATAGTAAAAATGTTGGGTGAAAAAAAGAGCAAGTGCTTATGGGGAAATGACAGATCAAAGACAGTCAGTGATGATAACAGTTAAAATGCTCCGTATACCTCACTTTGAGCCAGGCACGTTACAGGCATGGCCTCATTTCTGTGAGAACGATTCCCACTCAACAATGAGGAAGCTGAGGTTTGGAGAGCTAAGTTACTTTCCCAAAGTACAGAATCCAAATTCAAACCCAGAAATTTGGCTCCAGAGCCCACTCCCTATACCACTAACTGAAAATGCTACTTGGGGTATAATTTCGATCTGTATAGATGTCGAGGGACCAACCTGTTGATAGATAAAACATCTATCAGGGCCTAACATGGTTTGCAAACCTGCTCGTTCTCCTAAGTGCTGAAGGCACACCCCCTCCATGGGCAAGTAGAACTTTCCATTCCTTCCATAATTTTGTGTATCTCAAAGCGAGTCCTCATGGGATTCTCTTTTGCACACATAAGTTGATGTCACAAAGACCTGAGTCCATTTCCTACGTACCCACTGCAGGATCTGTGGCAAGTGTCTCCTTTGATTCTTACACCTTCCTTCAGGGATGGTTATATGGGTTAAATGTGACAATGTATTAAAGCATTCAGCCTGGTATCTGTCCTTAAGAAAGGAAGGATAACTGGCAGCTTTCACCACTTCTATCATTATTATTATTACTATTATTATTTTAAAGACAGAGTCTCAGTAGAGTGCTGTGGCATCACAGCTCACAGCAATCTCCAACTCCTGGGCTTAGGCGATTCTTTTGCCTCAGCCTCCCGAGTAGCTGGGATTACAGGTACCTGCCACAACGCCTGGATATTTTTTTGTTTGTTTGTTTGCAGTTTGGCTGGGGTCAGGTTCGAACCCACCACCCTCGGTATATGGAGCCAGCGACCTACCCACTAAGCCACAGGTGCCGACCACCACTTCTATTATTATTATCACCATTTGTTAGAATGATGAATAGTAACGCTCACTTCTAGGGAGGAGAAGTGGTCCTTGCAAAAACACGCAAAGCACTGGGGCCGGGCAAGGTGACTCACACATGCCTGTAATCTGAGCACTTTGGGCGGCCAAGGTAGGGGGATCCCTTGAACTCAGGAGTTGGAGACCAACGTGAGCAAAAGAGAGACTGCTGTCTCTACTAAATACAGAAAAACTAATCAGACACTGTGGTTGGCACCGGTAGTCTCAGTTACTCAGGAGGAAGAGACAGAAGCATCACTCGAACCCAGGAATGTGAGGTTTCTGTGAGTTAGGCTGATACCATGGCACTCTAGCCTGGGCAACAGAGCAAGACTCTGTCTCAAAAAATGCCCATAGGCTCGGTGCCTGTGGCTCAAGTGGCTAAGGTGCCAGCCACGTACACCTAAGGTGGTGGGTTCGAATCCAGCCCAGACCCTCCAAACAAC